GTTGTTATTTTTCCCACCAACCAGAGAGCTTTGCATTTCAGGCAAAGGTTGTAAGGATTTAAAATTTAAGCACATGAAAGCATATTTTGTGCAGATTTGGAGAACGCATTTTTTTCCTTGACTTTACCATTTTATAAGCAAAGTTCAGAAGTCAGCAATAAAACACATTCATTTTGTCCTACACACACATAATAATCTCACAGTCACAGAAGATACAAAGACTGTGGAAAGCATGAAGGTTATTGCAAGAACCTGCATTCAAATGACATCATTCAACTACCTGCTCAAATATTCTGCCTCACACGACAGCTACGCAACAGTCCCAGATGATGGCAAGCTCCACCTAACAGAGCTGTGGAAGGTTTCAGGAGTTAATCTGCAGAGCTGGAAGGGAGAGGATAAGAACTTAAGAGGGAATTCTGCTTCATCCCTTCCTAAATAGGAGGAAGTGGTCCAGAACAGCAGTTCTGCTGCATTTGCATTTCAGTGACAATTCTGCAAGTTTGTGGAACGTACATGAGTCTTCCCTCTGTATCAGAGAAAACCAGCCTGCTTCAGCCGTCTCCTCCAACCTTATCTGCGAAGATAAAGAAACCTAATCGCTCACCTGCTGTTCCCTTTCATACACTGTGTCAATACCCATTTCCGCTTGTTATTGCGTCTTCTTCCCTCAAATCATTTCTCCCTTTTGGTCCAAATTTGGCAGGAATACATGCCTTCTCCAGAATAAGGGACTCCAGCACACACATATTGAGCAGTTATGATTTAGGCTAGTACTTAACAAATACGTATTTCGCCTACAACATGTGATAGCCATGTCCCTTTTCTGGGAATGTAAAGCATAGCCAGCAAGACAATTACAACACTTCTTTGAGAAATTGTTCCCAGGTAGTACGTAATACCCCCTTTACTCTACAAAACACAGCTACCCTTGGTTTGTTAATAAAATCGTTTAATGCTAAAATCATACAAGATCTCACCTCAGCAAAGTGAAACAACTTCTACATGTGATGTGCTCCGTCCCAAATCTCTACTATGAATAGCAACCGAGAAATATTTATAGCTCATACTGACTTTTTGTTCAGCACAAACTTCAAATTTACAGCAAGATACTGGGTCAGATGCATTCCAAATGTAAACTAATATTATTCAGTCCATTTACCACAAGGATGAATGAGATTTATTATTACTCAGCTACAGCCCCTTTTCTCTGTGGCAAGCTGCCAACAGGGTTTAAAATCTGAACAAAAATACACCTTTCGCCTAAAGGCAAGCATTGACTGCATACAGGCTATTCAACTGCCTGCACCAGGGCTCTCTGGGGGGCTGCCAGGGGCCAGGCCAAGGATGTGTGCCTAAAAAAGGTGCTGCTCTCCAGTACTCCTGCTGCGTTTCATCCACACTTCTCTGCTCATGTCCCGTTCTTCTAACATTTTCCAGCAGGCTTGCATCAGTCCAATTCTCCCTTCAGCTACCTCAGACCCTCTCTCCCTCAAAGTTTAGCCAGTGGCTCCTGTAGAGGTGTCCAAGCAAGCAGGAAAGCCATCCATTTCAGTCAGCGGGTCCGAGTGCTTTCTACTGTCAGCCCACTGACTTCAATTAACTTCTTTCCATGCAGTGAACAGGATTAGCAGAATTAAAGCAAATTTACATTTATTAGTATTTGGACTTCTTTTTCCAGGCTTAGGAAAAAAATAAATACAGTACAAGCAAAGTTAACTTTCTTCTTTCATTTTTAGCTGCAAATACAATTTGAGTAGCAATGACTCATTTGAACTCCTCCTAATAAAGTGGTCTTTATCCAATTAGATTAGCCTATCAAGCCAAAGGCATTTATATTTCTAAACACAGGCCAGCCGCCACACAAGGTACTTCAGCCCTGAGGCTACATTAATGGTTTGGTGAAAACCATTAATGACAGCCTACAAGATTCCCCTACAGTTTAAGCTCATTTGTTTGCTATGTGCCAGGGGCAGAATTTGACCTTACCAAAAAGGCTTTATGAGCACCGTGAACCTTTCATCCCACAATTTAATTTAATGAATAAGCCGGTTTGAATGAGAGTCTGTAATTTGAGGTTAAAATCCTTCAGAACTAAAGTTGTAACGGCATTTTTCAGTCTCGACCAAATTTGCATAACTTCATTATACAACACTGAGGATTGGGATATAATGGCAGTGTGGCTAAACTGTAACAGCACTGCCAGGGCATCACCAGAACAGACGACACACAAAATGTGCCTGTGCCAGGAGTTGCGGGGTTTTTTTCCGCCAATAGTTTCAGAAACATGGGCGCTGCTACAGTTCTTAGTCATTTCTTTCAGTGCAGGTATGGATAAACTTTGATCCTACATGGCTTTCAATAAGAAAAATAAATAACAACTGCTCAGAAAAAAAAAAAAGAAAAAAAAAGCTGTTTCAAATCCAACATACACACATTCAGAAGGATTCAGCCTTAACTACTTCTGCAATTATCCACCTGAATACAATGCAATTATCCCTGGGTTTTTTAGTTTTTAAAAGGACAGTACTACACCATGTAGCATTCACCATTCTTTCTTAGATAGATGTTCTATTTCAAATGGCTGTAAAAATGTATTTGGAAAACTGAAAATGTGAAAAATATAGCAGAAAGTCTTCTCAACCTATACTGTCAGTTTTAGACTCTTTGAAAAGAGAGAACAAGATTAACCATCTATGGGGTCAGAACATCCTTTGACCTCTATCATATTCTGTCATAGAACAAAATTTTAGTCCTATTTTTAACATTTTACTTTCACAACTTACAGAGATGGCACCGGGTCAGCAAGCCAACACCCTGCAATGTCTACTGTACCAGCTCTTACGTTTACGGGACAGGCTTCAGAGGACACGGATCTTGATTCCGCACATTTGAAGTCAATGTATTGCCAATCACTGTAAACCATCTCGCCTCCACTCCCAGGCCACAAAACCGGCAGCCGGAGGGGTGTGGGTGGCAGCCCTGCGGATCAGCTACGTGGCCACGCAGACGTGTACAGAGCCACCCAGGCGGGCCGGGCTGCAAAACCGGCCTGGCAACGCACCACCTCCCAGGCACTCAGGATCTTCCCCAAGGCCGCCGTCCTGCCCCTCCGCCAAGGTGCAGCGGGCGACCGGTGCTACCGCCTGAAGCCCTGCCGCCGCGCTGGGGTGGCCTCCAAGCCCCGAGCGGGTGTCCCGCTGCCCAGGGTGGGTGCCAGCGCAGGCAGACCCACCAGAGTGGGATCCCGGGGGGGGCGGCTGAGGGAAGAAAAGGCAGAAGGAAAAAGGCCGGCCCCTGGCAAGGCCGCCTGACAGGGGCTGGAGGATGCGCGGGAGGGCTGGAGCGGGGGCTGCCCCCACCACTTCACCGGTTAACGGGAAGACGTGGGTCGGTTATTTTTATTTTTTTGCCCCCAAG